GCCCAAACAGAGTTGAAGAATAAAGTCACTGAAATGAATAACACACTACAAGGAACCAAGAGTAGACTAAATGAGGCAGAAGAATAGATCTGTCAGCTAGAAGACAGATTAGTGGAACTCATTACTGCAGAATAGAGAAAAGAAAAAGAATGAAAAGAAATAGAGGATAGTTTAAGAGAACCTGGGACAACATGAAGTACACTAATATTCACATTATAGGGGTCCCAGAAAGAGAAGAGAGACAGAAAGGACCTGAGAAAATTTTTGGTGAGATAATCACTGAAAACTTGCCTAACCTGGGGAAGGAAACAGTCACCCAAGTCCAGGAAGCACAGAAAGTTCCACACAGGATCAGCCCAAAGAGGAACACACCAAGGCACGTAGTCATCAAATTGACAAAAATTAAGGAGAAGGAGAAAATAAAATCAGCAAGAGGAAAGCAACAAATAACATACAAGGGAACTCTCATAAGGTTATCAGCTGATTTTTCAGCAGAAATTCTACAGGCCAGAAGGGAGTGGCACAATTTATTTAAAGTGATGAAAGGGGAAAATTTACAACCAATACTCTATCCAGCAAGGCTCTCATTCAGATTTGATGGAGAAATCAAAAGCTTCACAGATAAACAAAAGCTAAAAGAATTCAGCACCACCAAATCAGCTTTACAACAAATGTTAAAGGAACTTCTCTAGTCATCAAACCATAAGAAAAGAGAACAAAAAGAAGAGAAAAATAAGACCTACAAAAAGATTTCTCTGGCAATTCAGGGACTTTCATGGTTCCACATAAATTCTGGAATTGTTTGTTCTAGTTCTGTGAAAAATGTCCTGAGTATTTTGACAGGGGTTGTATTGGATCTGTAGATTGCTTTGGAGAGTGTGGCCATTTTGATAATGTTGATTCTTCCAGTCCAAGAGCACAAGGTATCTTTCCATTTCTTTGTATCATCTTCAATTTCCTTCATCAATGTTTTACAGTCCGAAGAATATAGGTAACCTCCTTCTAGGTATTTTGTTGTTTTTGATGCAACATAAATGTTTATGCCAGTTATAAAATTCTGGTTTTTGAAGTGAAAAAAAAGCGAATGAAGAGTTACAAATGGCAAAATGTCCTTCTTTCTTATGGGTGAGTTGTATTCCACTGTAGGTATGTGTTGTATCTGCTTTGTCCATTCATCTGCTGATGTGCACCTAGGATGCTTCCATGTCTTGGCAACTGTAAACGGTGCCGCTGTTAATAGTGGGAGTATGTATCTTTTTGAATTAATGTTTTTGTTTTTCTTGGGTGTGTACCCAGGAGTGGAACTGCTGGGCCATGTGGTGGTTCTATTTTGGGGTTTTGAGAAACCTCTATATTGTTTTCAAAAGTGGCTGCACCAATTTGCATTCCCACCCACTGTGTACAGGGGTTTCCTTTTCTCCACATCCTTGCCAACATTTGTTATTTGTGTTCTTTTTGATGATGGCCATTCTGACAGGTATGAGATGGTGTCTCATGATTTTGATTTGCATTTCCCTGATATTAGTGATGTTGAGCAGCTTTTCATGCTCCTGTTGGCCATCTGCATTTCCTCTTTTGGAAAAATGTCTGTTCAGTTCTTCTGCCCGTATTTTAAATGGGTCGTTTGTTTGTTTGCTTTTTAATTGAAGTTAGGTGATTTAAAATGTTGTATTAGTTTCTGGTGTACAGTATGGATGGACTTGGAGGGCATCATGCTGAGTGAAATAAGTCAGACAGAGAAAGACAAATACTGTAAGATATCACTTACATGTGGAATCTAAAAAAATATAACAAACTAGTGAATATAATAGAAAAGAAACAGACTCACAGATGTAGAGAAGAAACTAGTAGTTACCAGTGGGGAGAGAGAAGAAAGAGGGGCAAGATGGAGGTAGACGATTAAGAGGTACAAACTATCAGGTATAAAATAAGCTACAAAGATGTACTGTACAACATGGGGAATATAGCAATATTTTATAATAACTATAAATGGAATATAACCTTTAAAAATTGTTAATCACTATTATATACCTGTAATATACCATACTATATGTCAACTATCCTTCAATTTTAAAAATATGATATTGTAAAATAAATAAAGTTAAAAAAACAAACCAGATTGTGGTAATGGTTATACAACTCCGTAAATATACTAAAATCCATTGATTTATATACTTAAAATGGGTGGATTTTATTGTATGTAAATTATATTTCATTAAAACTATTCAAAGAAAGGAACAAAACAACCAAGGCACAAAGAAGTAACTTACTCAGGGTCATAGCAAATCAGAAAAGTTGTAGAAAATAAATTCAGATAATTTGATTCCCAGAACTCTCTCAAAGGATAATATTAACCTTAAGTTACTAACTATTGCTAACTATTTCCATTAACAATGTTTTGGAAGGATGAACAAATGGTAACCCACTCAGCAAACAAGAGAAGTCTGAAACCTGGGCCTATAGGGGTTGGTGAGCAAAAAATCCAAAAATCAAATTAATTTGAGCCACAAAAATGGCAAAGCATAGGAATGGAATGGGAGGCATGAGGTATCTGTGAAAGCAATGATACAAGCAGGAGGATAAGGTGGAAGTCTCTGTAAAGAACACTTATAACCCCAGATCTCCTCTTTTACCAGTGCAGAGTCAGGCAATTAATTATGCTTTCTCTAACCCAGAAGAGTAAAAGTTTATGGAACCAAACCTAAAACAGAGCCACTTATGTCAGGAACAAAATGGAGTTGGTTAACATAGGCTCATTAAAGAAAATGAAACTTAACGTAAGCTGCAGAAATCTACATCTCTTCTCAAAAATCAGTAGAGGATGCCAGTCAACCCCACAAACATCAAGTCTGCCCATGCCATCTTTGGACCTCCTTGTTCCCCTGTCTCAGCTACCCTAATCCAAATGAGGAAGAAGATCACTAGGCAACCAATCAGCTGAAAAAGCCAAAAAACTTCCGTATTTACCCATAAAACCCTTCAGTCTGTAAGCAATTCAAAACTTGTTGCTCCCAAAGCCTTGCATTTTCCAGCCTGCAGGTCAAAACTGTTGCAAAAAACTCATATTTCTGCTTTGTTTTACTGCGTGTGCAGGGTTTGGGTTTAGGTAAGTTTAAGTCATATACTGGCTAAATCACAGAGGATCTGGACCTAGTAATATCGGGCATGGCAGAGGTTGGGGTCCAAGTGTCTCCAGAAAAAAGGGGAATTATGGGAAAGTCTGCATATTGAATGGTGAGACTAACAGCACCTTCTCTCCCACTCAGCTACCAGAATACAGGCTGTGAGACTTACAACTCTTGGGCAGAGGATAAGAAGATTCATCTCTGGAGAAACTGAGTAGTATGACAAAAAAGATTTATACAGTGACTGACATTTGACTGTAATCTATAGTTACTAATAATAAAATCCACCAGTCAAAAAACCTGGCCATATGTGCTTTGCTCTCATTCCATTTTTTAAGTGTTTAATTTAAATACTATTTTTTGCATTTTATAAAATCTCATTAAGCATTATGTTTATAATTAGAACTAAAACAATAAAAAATATTTTAAATAAAGAATGAGTAAGAGTCTTTGGAAATTCCGAATTCTCACAATAATATGGATCACAAATTTGGTTTCAAATTTGGAAGCAATTAACTTTTTCTTCCCCACGTTTTATTTTGAAACTTTTCAAACCTCCAGAAAAGTTAAAAGAATGACAACTGACATTCACAATTATCAACATTTGCTTTCTCTCTTTATAATACATACACCACACAAATTTGTTTTGGTTCAACACATTTCAAAATTAAGTTGCAGCTATTATGATACTCTCAATAGTTTGGTTTGCATCTCCTAGGAATAAGGACACTTTTCTACAGGATCACACCACCATTATTACACCTAAGAACTTTAACACTGATAAAATCTAATAATACACAGATTTATTCTAATGTAGGACCGATTGTCCTAAAGATGTCTGTTACAGATGTTGCAGGATTCAGGATTTTTAGTATATTTACAGAATTGTGCAACCATCACCACAATCAATTTAGAATATTTTCATCACTCCAATAAGAAGCCTTATATCCTTTAGCAATCGTCCCCCATTACTCCCAGCTCTAGGCAATCATTATTTTCTGTCTCCATAGATCTGCCTGTTCTGAATATTTCATATAAATGGAATCATACAAAATGTGATATTATATAACTGGCTTATTTCACTTAGCATTAGTTTTCAAGACTCATCCATGTTGTAGCATGTATCCTTTTTATTGCTGAATAAGATTCCATTGTATGGCTATACTATATTTTATTTACTCATTCATTAGCTGATAGATTCAATCGGTGCTTTAATGTCTCCTTTGTAAATATAAATGGATAGCTAAGGATCTAAACATTTGAAAAAAATCTTAATGTGAAAGACAAAGACCAAATCAAACATTTAAAATTAGGATCTCAGAGGAAAAAGAGGCAATGTGGGAAGGAGAAAGAAACTTCAGAATTCTCCAATACTCTAAGATTACAGAAGATATTATATCCACTAAACCAAAGATGCAAAGTTATTTTAAAAGCAAATATTCAGAGAAGACCAAGGAGCTCTTGTAACTTAATATGATAGAAATAATTAAAATTTTGATTGAAATACTGAAAGATATACTGGAGGAAATTTCCCTGAAGGTAAAACAAAAAATACAGAGATGGAAAATCAAAGACAAAAATTTTTTTTAAGAAAATTAGAGGATCAAGCCAGGGGATCTAATATCCAAATAATCCGAGTTCTGCAAACAAAAAGGAGGAAAATTTTCTAATAAATATTATGAGAATAATTCTCTGAACTGAAAGATATGAGCTGCCAGACTGAAAGGGTCCACTGAATCTAAGACTATAATGAAAAATGGCCCATACTAATAGACATCATCATGAATTTTAAAAACTGAGAATAAAGAGAATATTTTCCAGAAAGAAAAGTAAGTCACATACTCAACGTCAACACTGGAAGCTTTCAAAGTTCTGAAGGAAAATGATTTCCACCCTAAAATGCTGTCCTCAGCCAAACTATCAGTTAATAGGGAAACCAATGTCTTGTCAGACATGCAGGGTGTCGTAAATTAACTCCCCATGCTCCCTTTCTCAGGAAGCTGTTATGAATGTACTTCACCAAGAAAGAAGACATGCAATTTAAAAAACTGAGGATCTACTATAGAGGAGAGGGGAAGGGAGTTCCCAGGCTGATGGTAAACGCAAAATCCAAGATGAGAGAGTTGGGCAACAGGGCTGGAGTGCAAACAGTCCTGAAAGGAGCAGGAAGACCAAGGGCTCCAGAGGACTGGCTCCAAGGGGAAATGAAGTGCATAAGTTACCTGATTATGCCTGAACCAGAGAGAGGAGATCTCTATATAGGTCTGTCAAAGAGTCTGGGGTTGAAATAGTTAATAGGTATATAGAAAACTAAGCAAATAAAAATGTAAATTTTTACTCCTCGGTAAACAAAAAGTTGTATAAGAAAAAAACTGCAGTTTACTATGTGGAACAGCTATAAATAATATCAATATAAGTAGATATTGATCTAATAAAAATGATGATTTACCTATATTGGGAGCACGGGGAAGGGAATTAAGTCTCTATCTGGGGATAGAAGGAACTGCAGGAGTACTAAATCATGTCTTCCACAGTAAGGAGTCAAAAGACAATATGTAAAATAAGAAAAAGCAATATATGCATGTAATTTAAAAATACAATGATAATTACCAGAAAGAAATGAAATTAGTTGTCTCTGACAAGAAGGAAGAGCAATTAGGAATGGGGGGAGGAAGGCAGGGAACTACTTGCTGTTTCTTATAAGTCTTGTAACACTGTTTTTTTAAATTATGCACTTGTATTCATGATTTTCAAAAAGGTACATTTTCCGAAATGCCTGGCAGATAGTAAATGCTCAAACAAAAATAGAATAGAGACTCTCACCCTTTTATTTAAGTGGCATCTGTGTTATTAAAGACCAGTTATTTGGGTATCATTAGACAATGAGTCTATTTTAAGGTATTTCCACCCAGTACTTATATTTGAGGATTAGAATTTTGAAAACCATTTTACTTCACAAGCAATAGCTCTTCCATTCTTCAGCTACTCTGATAAGCAGTACCTGGTCCTCAGTAAGATTCTCAGCATTCCAGTTGCTGCAACGAAGTAGAACGGACTTGTCAAGGGGAAAGTTCAAAACAGTCTCAGCGAGTGATTTCAGGCTAAGCCCATTAGACAGCAAATTGTTTCTATGAGAAATAAATAAAATCATGTATCAAAAACAGGCAAAGGACAAGAACAGGCAAATCAAAAAAAGTGTATAAGTGACCAATAAACAGATGATAAATACTCAATCTCACTACATAAAATAAAACTAAAAGTATATGTAATTTTTAATCCATCAGATTACAAAGATTTTTAAAAATACCTCTGTCTATTATTGGCAGAGCATGAAGAATCAGTCTGCCCTAAAATTCACGAGCTGAACATTTTTACAATCTTTTGAAAAACAGTCTGACAACAAATAGCTATCAAAATTTCGAAGATGAAAATTCTCTGATTCAATAATTCCACTTCTAGGAATTCATCCTAAGACAAAAGCACATAAAACAATCTTCATTACAGCACAATTTATACTAGGAAAGAACTGGAAACAACCTAAAAACCCTCAATAGAGAACTGGTTAAATATCCATGCAATTAAATCCCATACAGCTATTAAAAATAAGGATGTGGATGTATACTGATGTGAAAAGATGTCCATGACATATTAATTAAGTAAAAAGAGATTATGAAAGAAAATACATGTTATAAACCCTTTACATTAAAATATATATACTACATAATAAATGTGGGTATGTGATTCTAGATATGTGAAAGAGAGGAAGCATAAAGAGATAATTGGAAAGATATTAATTAAATGTTAGTGATGTTATCTCTGGGTGTGGGGTTTTGGATGATCAGACATCTTTATCATTTTTATATTTGTATTGGCCAGTGTTTGTGCATTACTTTTCAAATTTGAAAATATGATAAGGCTATTTTCACTGAAGGGGTACAGGTGCAATAAAACCAAATAGTCTTCTGTTCTTCAAACACTCTCTGATTAAAGTAGCTGCAGGGTGGTGGGAAAAAATTTAAATTAACCAAGGATTGGAAAATCCAAACAAGAGCTAAATGTAAAATTAAGAACACATCAGTCTCCAAAAAATGGGGCTGACTTTCTGGTTCCCAAGTGAGAGACTAGAAGGTTTAGAGCAGGGAGCTTCAAGGCGGAGGCTCACATCAGGGTTAGAACGTGCAGGATTCCCTCAGGTACTGTGGAAAATGAAATCATTACAATGATGAAGAAAAGGAAATCTTTTCTTATAAATACAAGCAGTAACTTGTTGCATTTCATCACCCTCAAAAGGCAACACTAACTAAAAAGTTAAAAAAAAAAGTCAGACACACTTAGGTAAATAAAATACATAAGGTCATGTTTCAATGAATGGAAATTAAGAATTTGAGAGAGACAAACCACTTTCTTTTCATTTTTAAATCTTTTTATGTTTTCCTTCACATTAGTAATTATAAAAGGAACAAATGTCTATTATTAAAAATTCAAACAACAGAGAAGAGTAATGGGTAAAAAGTGAAAGCTGCTGCCCCCACTTCCACTCCTCAGGAATGACACTCATAAGTACGCTGTGGCCCCTCCAGACCTTTTCTACACACAAATAAACAGATGGTCAGATGGAGAAGCAGATACAGTTTTTTGGTATTTGTTTTGGTTTTTTTTCTGCAAGTGGCTTTATCACTTAATGTATCAGAGACCTCCTTCCATGACAATAAGCACAAATGTACTTATTTCATTCTTTTTAACAAGTATGCAATTTATACGTGTGGGTATTCCATAATTCTTGAAATCATTACCCTTATTGAAAGATAGCACTTAGCTTTTAGTTACTTAATTCCATTTAGGTCATTAGTCTTTTTTACAATGTCATATTTGAGAAAGTTTCATATTTTTTGAGAATGAATTAAAAACAAGATGCCACCTTTGCCACTTTAAAGTTTCACTAGGAAAAATTACAAAGTCATATACAACAATCTCAATAATAAATTATCTTCTGCTAACGTATAATAAAAAATATAAAGAGTATGAAGGAAAAAAGACAGCGTTACCAAGAAAATGTGTACATCTCTCCGAAGTCAAATGAAAGTAACAACTACTTACAGCAAACATCAGGAGCAACCTTATAGCTACAAGTGCTAAGTACAATTCTTGTACTATAATGTCAAATTTCTTCCATTATAATGTCAAAAAATTCAAATTTTACTACTAAAGTATTCATTAATAAAATAAGAATGTTTAGAATGTATGCACGTATACATATGACTGAAGCATTATACTGTATTCCAGAAATTGACACAACATTGTAAACTGACTACACTTCAATAAAAAAAGAATGGAAAAAAAATTTTAATAGGAATGTTTAAAATTTTAATAAAATTTCATTAAAAGTTAAAAAGCTTGATAAATACTTCATTCTTATTTCTAGAGAAGTTCATGGTAATACTCAACTTTGGCCAAATTTTAATTTTGACATTTGGCTATTCTGCACTTAACCAGATAATTAAATGCACTTCTAATTTCTATATACTCATAGGACTGTAACTGGATAGAAAGAAATCTGGAAGAAGGACAAACCAATCAGATGACGATGGTGCCGAAGGTGGCAGTGACGATGATGATTGACAGTAATGGTTGAAATTTACACAGCACTCTGTATATGTCAAACACCATGTCTAAGTTCTTTACATTTAATCCTCACACCAATCCTACGCGGGGGGAACATTATTATTTCTACTTTACAGAGAGGGAACTGAGGAACAGTGAGGCTCAGTAACTTGCCAAAGATCGCACAGCTGGTCAGAAGAAGCACAGGACTCCCACCCCACAGTCAGCTCCAGAGTCAATTCTTAGCCACTACACACAAGGCCTCTAAAAGCCATGTTAGGGTAATAGCACTACCTCTGGGCAGGCAATGCCAAAAAGAGGAGGGCCTGATGAAAGATGGCTTTTTGTTATACTCCAAATAATTTCACAGAGTTAAAAAAATTTTTTACAGTAAATATTTTGATGTATTACTTTAAAAAATTGATATTTTAATTATAAATTTTATTTACATAAGGCAAACTACTAAGCCAAAATAAAATTTCATTTTATACTAAAAAATCATAAGCATAGATTTTAATCAGGCCTTCTCTTAGTGTACCAAATCCTCCAGACTTTCAATATCAGTGTCATGGTAGGGAGAAACTGTTTCAGTTCACATTATTAAAACGAGAACCTGCATATACACAAAGGAAGGTGACTGCAATTCCCTAAAAAAAAAAAAAGGTCGAATTTCCATAAGAATAGAATTCCAAAGAAAAGGAAAATCTCTTCCTCCCCAGAAAAAAGTTAAGTCTACCATCATTTTTGGCCTGAAGCAGGGTTTGCAAACTCAAATGCTTATCAGGATGAGTTGAGGTTACAATGGGAGAGGTGGTGACTGGCAAACTGAACAAAGCATGCCATCTAAAGAAGACGGTGCTACAAGCCAACAGCTGTCATCTAGAACAATTAACCTAGTGTAGTCAGATCACACAATTTTCAAAAGAAGCCAGAGATACAGATTTTTACATTAAATCTTCTGGACTTAAACTAAAATTTCCCCAAAATATCATATGGGAAAAAAACAAAAACAAAATATCTGCAACTCTGATTTGCCCAGGGGGCCCATGAGTTTACAACCTGCATCTTATAGAGACACCTCATTAATGTTTCATCTAAAAAGACCAATTCTAGGTAACTAAAGTTTTTCCAGAAGTTGGAATATTTCTTTACAAATTCAGCACGTATCTCAGAACTTCTGTGCATCTAAAGAATTTTAGATGCTTCATTATTGATTCTCATAATCTACAAATCTTACTAAATATTTGCCCCGCAGCTACAGGAATCCCAGCATTCAAACAAATCATACCTCTGCCTCATGGCTAAGTATCGGAGGTCCAGGCATCCCTTAACCACAAGGCCATAATCCTGCAAAAGCTTGCTGGCATCTTCCGAACATCCTACTCCAACTTTTAAAACAGTGCCATCTGCCAAAATGTCCAATAACGTTTTTGGTACTGTTTTTCCTCCGCAGATCAGCTTGGGCAAGCGAACCAAGACACAGAAACCACTTGGAGAGGCCATTTGAAGGAGTGACAGAGGACTGGCCTTGCCTTCCAAATTCACCTGCAACAGAGGAAAACAGAGTCACAGTTCACACCGCAGCACAGCACCAAGTACAACATGAAACTGTGGCAAGAAAGTCTAAAGAGGTACATTCTTAACTTCCGGAAGGGAACAGCTGGCCAGAGTTTGGCTAAAACCTAAGGATGAGTTAATGCTAACAAATGGGATGGACTCTGTCAAGCCGCAGCCTAAACAGGTTACTTACTGCGGGCCCAAAGACGAGCCTGAAATACGAGCAGTCCATAAATAGTGACCAGCTGACCCGGAGGAGCGCTGGGACACACATTGGCAGAGTCACAGGAAACACACTGGTTTAAACAGCTAAGGGAATAAAAAGCTAAGGAGCAAGAGTGCCAATTGATAACACTCTCTTTCCATTATCCATCAATACGCAGGCTAGTAACCTGACATTGCCTCAAGATTCGATTTCTGAAAAGAGGTAGGAAATACAGTACTATTAATAAGTGGTACCTGCCAATATAATAAAGCCTGGTAGCTCAAAGTGCTTTCTCAGCATTTTATGGTCACAAATGTTGTTCTTAAAGAAATGCATATTAAGCATAAGCTAAGGATCCTCATATTTTAAGAGATAAAAGTAACTTTATATATGAACTGATCTAGTTTCAATCTTTTTGAGATAATAAGTTGGAGAAAATGCTGAAAGTTAAGGAAGTTATTCCCAGAAAAGTTTACATACAAAATTCACATTAATTAAAGGTTCTCTAAAGCTATCCACAGAACCCAGGTTAAGCATGCAATAAATTCCAATCCTTCTCATTTTTTCAGGAGAGGAAATTTAAGGTCTACAGGTGAAGCTGTTTGCCTAAACATGGAGATAATGGCAAAGTCAGAACTAGAACCTAAATTTCTCAATCTGTAGAACAGAGAAGAAACAGTCAAGATCATGATCACAAAGAATGCTATTAAAAGCAAAATTCACAAGGGACTTCACCCTCGACTTCTACTTCAGTGCTAAGTAAAACCATGGCTTAACACACAAAAGCTTCAGGATTTTTCTTGTCAGGCACTATCTATCAACAGGGGCCATTTCCATATCCTCAAATGAAAACATGCCAGTTTGATCTCCAATGTGTCTATTTCTTGGGGCTCTGCCAAAGTCAAAAAGACCTACAGGAAAGTTGTTCCTGTTCTGTAACAATTTATCTGGACATGGCCAAATCACCTTTTTAAAATTATTATTATTAAAGCTTAAGTCTCTCCCTTTGTAATACCAGGCGTCTTCATGAAAAAGCTGTCAATCTCTACTTCTAATATTTAGCACTCCTAATTTGACATAATACTGCTAAATCTTAAGGTCAAATCTTCGTACTTCTTTTCAGTCAAATTCCATTGTCTAAGATACACTAAAAAAATAACTACATAGATTAGTTGTCTCTTTAATACTGTTTCTGGATTGTGCTTAAGATTCATTGTATTATAATTAAGGTCTTCCTATCAGAAATCCAAATGTTTATGATTCTAATAGGTATCTAATTTACACTGAATGTATAATTGGAAGAATAATGCTTCCAGCAGAATCAGTCTGGCTTAAAAAATAAGATATCTAGTCTTTGTTTCTCATATTTCCCCCCTTGCTATCATCTTTTTGCCTTGACAGCACTTACTACCCATGGGAAAAATGAAACCTTTGGCTTACCAATGTTATATTTATTAGGGGAAAAAAAGACATTTAAATTTCATTAGCATTATGTAATCCAGTAGTCACTTTTTTTTGGTTAGTCAACTCATAAAAAATGTTTGGAATTACACAATACATATGCACATGTATTTATAAATCATATAAATGTAGTACTACACTAATGTATTACAGACATTAAATATACATAAACATTTTAAATGAATTATTCCATCAATAATTATAGACAAAATTTCTAACACTTTTTTCTATATTTCAGTGATTCAGTTAGAAAGGATTGGTTTAGAGATCCTCCTTCCGAGGGCCAGTGGATAATCCATTTTAGTTTCAGAAGTCTATTAAGTACAGAGCAGATAAACTTTCTGGAAAAGTCCGTGATTCTTTAAATGACCCCGTGATGGCAGCAGGGAGTAAAGAATAACCTGGGACTGTCTTCTGGGCTGGAACAACGTTCAGTAACAAGCACCCCTAGTCTGTGGATTATGCATCAATTCAATTTAGACTATGGCTTTGAGACAGGAATTTGTTTGTCCTGTTCAAGCAATAGAATAAAGGCCCAATGAGGCAGGAATATATGTAATAAGAGGAGGATGGGAAGAAAATAGGAGACAGAATCAGAGATGTTGAGAGGTGAGAGCATGTGAATCCTTAAGAACACATAACTAAAACATTTTGGTTTTATACGAAGCAATGGAAGGGTTTTAAGCAGGGGTCCGACATGATCAGATTTGCATTTTTAAAAGATCACTTTGGTTACCATATGGAGAAGGGACTGTACATGTACAAGAATCCAAGTAAGGAAGCCGGTCAGGAGGCTATTGCAAAGGTCTAGGTGAGAGACACTTGAGGCCTGGACTAGGAAGGAAGTAGACGAGATGTAGAGAAGTAGGTGGCTGCAAAATCTATTTTGTAATATTTCCTAAATGGATGGGAAGCGTTAATAGTAAGGAAAAAGAAGGAGACTTGAGGCAAGCCTGAAGCCTGGGCCAGCAGAAGGATACTCTTGGGAAAATGATCTTCACTTCATTCCATCTTTATTACACCAATTATCTGCACCTGTTAAGCACAGTGGTCTGAAGCCAGAGACTCCAGAAAAAATCAGGCAGGAGACATGAACCAGAAAGATATCTAAGATTTCCATCTCCTTCCTTCCCAGGAGAAAGGCAATAATAGCTTCTGAAACATGGCAGAATCCTCATTTTATCCATAGTGATTTATCCATAGCTGCACATCATCATAGGTAACTATCTGGAAACCCATACCTCTACCTGGTAGCATGCTGTGTTACTTCCTGCTTTCTACAGCCACTTATTTGAATTTCCACATATTTTGCCATTAAAAAAATTTAACACACTGTAAATGCCTATTTCTGTCTGACTTTCAATCATACCACTTCTGTTAGACAACCCTTAGCGGGGAGCTCTCTGATTTTAATCTTAAAGGTGGAGAACACTAGGGATAATATAAGTTTGAGGAGAAAAATTAAGAGTTCTGTTAGGAACATGTTAAGTTTAAGATGACTATTAGATATTCAAGGGAGATGTCAAGTAGACAGATGGATATAAAAGGCTATAGTTCTAATTTTGAGAGTCATCAGCCCATCAGTGATATTTAAAGCTATAAAATTAGATGAGATCGCTTAGGAAAAGAATAAGATTAGAGGACATGAATTAGTGGTCCATGGACCCACCTGCTGACCCACGGACATGTTTAATTTTTTTTTTTTTTTGGTTTCCATATTTTTAAAAGCTTGTGTTAGATTTTTTAAATTAGTGGAATTCACATTTTTAAAAATCTGTATGTCAAGTTACTTTTTAAAGAACTGGACAATATGGCAACACTTGGCTTGAACTGTGTAGCAGCTTCTTCATTTATAAAAGGCATGAAGTCTCAAATTCACCATAATGTCTTCTCAACACTGAAGCCAATTGTCATTTTCCATTTATCAGTGTATTTGCACACCACTGTTTTTCTAATACAAAGAAATATTTCTCAGTATCCGTGTTTCTATCAAAACCAGAAAAATGGAAGCTAGACCACAGAGGCCTTATGCTTAAGAAAAAAAGGGAGAAAGCATATTTCTTTATGAAATTGAATAATATTCCTATTCATTCAAAAGTGCGAACAATCACTCTAGTTCATTCATTTACATTTCCTGTCTGGACCCTGTTGGCATCTGAGTTGGCAATTCCTGGGGGAGATACAGAAGAGACTAAACTGGAGCCATCTCAATATTTAGATGTCAGGTAGAAGGGGGATCACAAAAGGAAAAAGAGGAAAGAACTGTAAGATAGGAGACAGGAGACTGTGACGGCATGAAAATGAAGAGAATGCTTCGTGCAGGAATTATGCAGATATTTTTCAGAGCCAAAATAATGAGTCTGTATAAGTGTCCACTGGATTAGAAAACAAGAAAGTCATCAATTTGATCAGTTTTAGTGAAGCAGTATGGTAGGATGTTAGATTAAAGTCAGTTGAAGAATAAATTGAGAACAGCAAATATACCCAAACAAGTAGAAGAAATAAAATAACAGAGAAAGAGCAGAAATCAATGTAATAGAACAAAAACATACAAGAAAGATCAACAAAGCCAGAAGCTGGTTCTTTGAAAAAGATTAATAACATTGATAAACCCATGGAAGGAGTAATGAGGCGAAAAAGAGAGAAGCACAAAGAAGCAATGTCAAAAATGAGAAAGGAGCCATCCCAACATATCCATCAGACAGGAAATAAATTGTCAGAGGATATTATAAATAAGTATATGCCTGTAATTTAAAAATTTCAAAGAAGACAGATTTAGATGAAAAATATAATTTACCAAAACAGACAAGAAGAAACAGAAAAATATCAATATCCCCAAACTATTAAAGAAATTGTATTCATAATTCAAAAACTTCCCTTAAAAAAATTTCATACAGTTTCACCAGCAGATTTTAATCAAACATTTAAGGAAAAAAGAATGATGATCTTACACAAAGTCTTCCAGAGAACACAAAAATAAGGAACAGCCCTAACTCATCGTGGAGGCCAGCATTACTTTTTTTTTAAACCGAAATCTGACAAGATCATTTCTAGAAAGGAAAATTATAAGCCAGTATCACTCACAGACTAGATTATTTTGTAAAATCCTCTAAAAATACTAGCAAAAGGAATTCAGCAATGTATAAGATACCATGACCAAGTTGGGTTTATTCCAGGAATTCAAAAAATGTATTTCACCACAAAAAAACAGAGTAAAGGAAAAAAACTACATACTCATCTCAAGAAATGCAGAAAAAGTATCTGATAAAATTCAACAACTATTCATGATTTTCAAAAAAAACTCTAAAAAAATTGAAGGATA